ATTATTCCAAAGCAAACGCAACGGTCATTCTCTCTTGGGCCAGAGCAAACGTAGAATATGCCGTTTCGGGAAGGCATCATTCACCTAACAATTATCACTGTGCGTGGTGGATTTCTGAGATAACGTTTCTGCACCACGGTACAGCTGAAAGCTCTCCAAGCAGTTTACGGAGCAAGCGACGTCATCGGTAGAAACCATTACAAATGGGAAAAGACTCACAAAATTCTATTTTTTCTCTTTACTGGGTTATAGATCACGGGGTCCCCGATGCAGTGCTCATAGGCACCGTGGTGAACCCCCCCCCCCCCCGGGGACCTTTCCTGGTGCCCACCAATTGTTTTAGAAAGTGGGTGGGGCCAGGTGGGCTCTTGCCCAGCAGGGCTTCTGATTGGTCACTGGAGATCCGATTGGCTGAGCAGGTTAACGTAATGCCGCTCCAGCTGTAGCTGCCACCACAGTGACGGTTGTACTCTCTGTCCGCTCGCGGGGAGGGTGGGGTAAAAATGTCAAAAATAAACAAATAAATAAACAAATACATTTCTCAGTGGATTCTTCAAAATAACCCCTCTTCTTCTCTTGCACTTGGGACTTCCTCCGTGCGCAGAGCTCCACTTCCTGCGGCAGCCATTTTGTAGCTGCGCCCACCACCCTGGGTGAGAATTCCAAAGGTGCCAAAAAGGTTCAAAAAAGGTTGGGGACCCCGGCAATGTTCCCTCTAAGCTGTAGAGTCTTGTGAGCAAAAATTCTACTTTGTGAGCTACTGGCATTAAGGTTGTGAGTGAGCCATTTGGTTACTGCATAAATTAGCACTGGAGCCATCCTTCTTGAGCTAGGACAAAAATGTGTGAGCCGGAGGCTAAAAAACTGTGAGCTCGCTCACACTAACTCAGCTTAGAGGGAACACTGGACCCCGGTATAGATCACACTATCCCCCAGAAAGGGATGAACACAAGAGACCAACCACTGAGTCAGGGGAATGGGTTTCATGGCATCACGGCAGTTCCAGAGAAGGACCTGCCAGCTTTCTCTTGGCTGAGGTGAAATCTTGGACAGGGCCTGGTGGGCAGATCTAAAAGAACAGGAAATAGACTGATATTCCCTCAGTGCACCTTTGGCCCAAACCACCGGGCCACACCCTGAATTGTAGACTCATGGAACAAAGGTCTAAGATGATGCTTCCTGATTTCTCCTGACAACAGGCAAATTAAAGCATTTGGGGGCCAACGGGAGTGCCCAGGTAGTCGCCAAGGGCTGCTCCACATAGGCTGCATTACAGTAGTCTAGACACGTCATAAACGGCTGTGTCCTTTGGTTTCAACAGTAGTTGACAGGACCATGTGTCATTGCCACATGATGGGAATCATATGTAACCGCCACTCACCCCTCTTTGTTAAACGAAGGGGGTTTTTTTGTTTCTTAAAGAGGATACGTAACATTTCCTTCCCACGACGGTGGTATGGCTGAAATTCTGGATGAGGTCTTGGATCCATGGTGACGCCGTACAAATAAACTACTGTTCCTTCCAGTCACAAACGTTTAGAAATCCATAATCCAATTACATTGCAAGGCATATTGGTTCCCGTAAAAACAAAAAAATTAGTTGGGGAGGAGGGGGAATTTCCAGAGCAAGAAGGCCATCGGGTTTCAAAGCGCTAAACTGTGCTGGTCCAACAGACAGCCTGGAACCCCCCGAATTGCTGCTGGGTTTCCAACCTCGCCTGCAAACAAACCCGTCACTGTATACGGCGGTTTGGGCCAATCTGTTGGTTTGCCAGCCTCCAGGCAGAGCCTAAAGATCTCCCAGAACTACCACTGATCTCCGGATGACAGAGATCCGTTCCCCTGGAGAAAACGGCTGCTCTTAAGAGGGTGGACTCTGTGGCATTCTAACCCGCTGAGGTCCCTCCCCTCCCCAAACCCCGCCCTCTTCAGCCTCCGCCTCCATATTCTCCAGGCCTTCCCCAACCTGGAGCAGCCCTATGCAATCCGGTGGGCTTTCTGTTTGGCCGCCGACTCAATATACATTATCAGAGGGGCAGTTTCCTTTATGTGCAACAGCTAGCGAACCATGATCAGAATCGGGCAACTTTGCAACTAGGATTCCTCTGGATTGGGAAATCCCTGGAGATTTGGGGGGTGAAGCCCGGAGAGGGCGGGGCTTGGGGAGGGACTCCAGCAAGGTATAATGTCACACGGCCCGCCCCCCGCACCAGCCACTCTCTCCAGGGGAACTATCTCAATAATCTGGAAATCACCCGTAATTCCATGGAATCTCCAGGCCCCACCTGGCAGTTGGAAACCCTATCTGCAACCACGGCGAATCTGAAAACGGAATCTGAATCCTTCGATTGTTTTCTGAAAACTGACCTCAGCCAGTTTGGTGCAGGGGTTAAGAGCGGCGGACTCTAATCTGGAGAACCAGGTTCGATTCCCCACTCCTCCACATGAAGCCAGTTGGGTGACCTTGGGTCAGTCACAGTTCTCTCAGAATTGTTCTCTCAAGAGTAATTCTCTCAGAGCTCTCTCAGCCCCGCCTACCTCACAGGGTGTCTGTGGTGGGGAGAGGAAGGGAAGGAGATTATAAGCCGCTCTGAGACTCCGAGTGAAGGATGGGGTATAAATCCAACTCTTCTCCTTCTCCTTTTCCAGACCTGTTTGTATTATTATTTCCAAAGTTTTTTTGGGTTTTGTTATAAAGAAGCAAACCAGCTTCCAGTTCCGTTGGGGAAACCCTATTACTCGGTGTGTCTGTTTTTCATCTAAAATCGAAGCGTGGGGGGGAGCCAACTTATGACTACGTCCCACCCAGACACTGTTTACACCGGGCCATCAATCTCCCTTGCTTGCCACTAAGACAAGTGAATGAGAAGAGCGATAACTATCTCTGCATGAAGGGAACAATGCGTAATTAAGACATTAAACAGGAAACTAAAGAATGCGAGAGCTCGGGCCGAATCCCAACAGTGCCACCTACAGGAGACAGCGAGCACTGGAAGACAAAAAGAAAAAATGCCTACGAAACTAATCAGAACGTGTGTCATCTTCATGATACTTGTTATTTATAGGACCAACAAACCACACATAAGAACATTTCAGAGCGTAGCCATGTTAGATTGGACTCTCGGGAGCAGGAACTCTCGAAAGCTGAAACTCTTGTTGGTCTCTAAGTCGCCCCTGAACTCAAATCTAACATAACAGTGGGTGAGCTTTCAACTGAATTCAAAACTTTGCATGCTCTTATGTGCGGTTCATTGCGCCTAATAAAAGGTATTATGGAGATTGTGTTCTGTTTCTTTGGATTCTACTTTGGGGCCCACGCATGCTAACAACTTCTTACCACAAAACAAATAACAGAGCGAATAAAGACTACTGCAAATTAAGCTCACTGCAGCAATGGGAACAAAACTGCCTATCGATTCACGGTTAATATTACCCAAAGTTGATCCACAGCATCACGAGCTGTTTGCTCTCCATTGTTTTTCATTCTGTTCTTTTGCCATCAAGTTGTAAGCGAATTACAGAGACCCCGTAGGGTTTTCAAGGCAAGAGGTAAGCAGAGATGGTTCGCCATTGCCCGCCTCTGCATAGCAACCCTGGACTTCCTTAGTGGTCTCCCATTCAAGTACTAGCCAGGGCCAACCCTCTTAGCTTCTGAGAGCAGACGAAAGCCATCGAGGGCAGGGCAGATAAACAGAGGTGATTTGCCATTGCCTGCCTCTGCATAGCAACCCTAGACTCCCTTGGCGGTCTCCCATATAGAGATGTGAAGGCCCGGGAAAAAACCTGGAAAAATTCGGAAAAAAACACGGGTTTTTTCTGTTTTTTTCCTGAAGCTTTTTTGGTTTTTTTCCGAAAAATTGGAAAAATTGAAAAAAGAAAAGAAAAGAAAAAAATTGATTATGGAACGTTTTATTTTAACATGATGAATACAATATTTTAAGACAAGGTGTTCAAATATTTTCCAAATCATTTCATATATATAAATGCTAGCTGTGATAATTTCATGCCAAGTAAAAATGTCCATAGTCATATTTTATGACTTTCAATCTAGAAAAGACAAAGGAAATGCTAATGTAGCATTTTTTTTCCAATTTTTCTGAAAATTTCCGTTTCCCCCCCTGAAAAAAACTGGAAAAAAAACGGGTTTTTTCCCGAGCTTCAAAATTTCTGGAAATTTTACATCTCTACTCCCATCCAAATACTAACCAGGGCCGACCCTGCTTAGCTTCGGAGATCTGATGAGATCAGGCTAGTCTGGACCATCCAGGTCAGGAAAAAAGACATACATAAGTGATTTTCCATTGCCTGCCTCTGCGTAGCAACCCTGGACTTCCTGGGTGGTCTCCCATTCAAGTACTAGCCAGGGCCGACCCTCTTAGCTTCTGAGAGCAGATAAAAGCGGGCTAGCCATCGAGGGCAGGGCAGATAAACAGAGGTGGTTTGCCATTGCCTGCCTCTGCGTAGCAACCCTGGACTTGCTAGGTGGTCTCTCATCCAAGTACTAATCAAGTCAACCCTGCTTAGCTTCTGAGATCTGATGAGATCGGGCTAGCCTGGGCCACCTTGGTCAGGGCAGACAAACAGAGGCGGTTTGCCACTGCCTGCCTCTGCGTAGGAACCCTGGACTTCCTTGGCAGTCTCCCATCCAAATATTATCCAGGGGCAACTCGGCTTAGCTTCTGAGATCTGACGAGATCAGGCGAGCCAGGTCAGGGCAGATAAGTAGAGGTGGTTGGTCATTGCCTGCCTCTGCATAGCGACCCTGGACTCCCTTGGTGGTCTCCCATACAAATACTAACCAGGGCCGACCCTGCTTAGCTTGTGAGATCTGAGCAGATCAGGCTACCCTGAGCTATCCAGGTCAATGCTCTGCACTGTGTGCTTTATCAAAGCTCAACATCAGCAATTGTCATTTTGTGGTTTCATTTCCGGCGCGCCGATGGTGACAGAGCACGATCCATCTAGGCAGCACAATGGCAAAAAAAAAAAGAGCTTCGTACCTTGCATTCGACCACGCTCTGATCTGATTCGCAGGTGACGTAGATTTCGTCGACCGCGCGCCGCAGGTTGTCAAAAAGGAAAGCCCAGTAACGCGCCCTCAGGTCGACTTTCCGGGGCTGCCTGGTTTTGGTGGGGCTTTTGTCAAAGTTCTTCTCGCCGGCGGCTGATGTAGTGTTCTGAAAAGGAGGAAAACAGCAGGGAGGGGGAATACGAGAGTGTCAGATACGGATCTGAGTTCGAATCCCCACTCTGCCACAAAGCTCACATAGGCCAGTTACCCCTTCTTGGTCTAACCTAACACGCAGGATTGCTGTGAGGATAAGATGAAGGAGGAAAGAACCCTGAACTCTTTGGAGGAAAAGCAGGACAAAACTGTCACAAAGAGAACTTCCACGGGAAAATAAGAGGCCAGCATTTTTGGCAAGAGGCTAGGGCACCTTGATCTAAAGAAGAGAAGAGGAAGAAGAGATTGGATTTATACCCTGCCCTTCACTTGGAGTCTCAGAGTGGCTTACAATCTCCTTTCCCTTCCCCTCCCCACAAGAAGACACCCTGTGAAGTAGGTGGGGCTGAGAGAGCTCTTTCAAGGACTGCTCCTGAGAGAACAGCTTTGAAAGAACTTGTGACTGACCCAAGGTGACACCAGCAGCTGCATATGGAGGAGTGGGGAATCAAACCCGGTTCCCCCAGATTAGAGCTCACGCTCCTAACCGCTACACCAAAAGGAGATTTTTCAACACTTTTATTGGCAAGAAAATCATATACAATCTTTTTAAAGAAGTGTATTGTTAAGGATTTGTTTCTATTCCAATGTGATTCTCCTCCAGTAATTATGGTTGTATGCAGGCTCACAGTGAGCATCCAGCAGAGTCAATGCTCAGTTACAAAACCACCAATGAAATCTGAAAGCAGCAGGAACTAGAACGTACACCATGCAACAGTTTGGCAAAGGAACAATCAATTCTACAAATGGAAAGAGATTGATTTCAGAATAAACTGGTATTTTTGTTAAAAAAACACACGCACACACAAAACCCATCTTTTTTTTTTGCCAAAGCAATTCCGGGACCATGGAAATATTAAGTGCACGGCGACTTTCCCTCTTAGTCCTCGGAAAGACCTTTGCGATCTTTAATATTCCATCACACTGGCAGCACGATCAATCTCATTCCTCTTGCTGGAAACAGCGCTGCTGTGAAGTTACAAATCTCACCTTACCTGATTGGAGAATGTATATTTAGCCGAATTTTCCAGTAGGACGAAAGTTTTGAAAACGATTTGAGTTCAGTCCTTAGAGACCAACAAGACCGGTATCTGACGAAGGGAGTGTTGAATCTCAAAAGTGTATACCCCGAAAATTGCATTGGTCTCTAAGGAGCTACTGGACTCAAATCTAGTTGTTCTCCGGCAGACCAACACAGCTACCTCAGTGGTAACCAAGTTTCCAAAATTGACAATGAAAAGAAGAAGAAGAAGAAGAGGACGAGGAGGAGGAGGAGGAGGAGGAGATTGGATTTATATCCAGCCCTTCACTACCCGAAGGAGTCTCAGAGTGGCTTACAATCTCCTTTCCCTTCCCCTCCCCACAACAGACACCCTGTGAGCAGTGTTCCCTCTAAGCTGAGTTCGTGTGAGCTAGCTCACAGTTTTGTAGCCTCTGGCTCACAGATTTTTGTCTTAGCTCAGGAAGGATGGCTCCAGAGCAAACTAATTTATGCAGTAGCCAAATCGCTCGCTCACAACTTTAATGCCAGTAGCTCACAAAGTGGAATTTTTGCTCACAAGACTCCACAGCTTAGAGGGAACATTGCCTGTGAGGTAGGTGGGGCTGAGAGAGCTCTCTCGAGAACTGCCCTTGAGAGAACAGCTCTGAAAGAACTTGTGACTGACCCAAGCACACCAAGTGACCCAAGTGGGGAATCAAACCCGATTCTCCCAGATTAGAGCCCGTGCTCCTAACCACTACATCAAACTGGCTCTGAAAAGGCAGAATCCAATTTACTTCCTTTTGGAAAGCGCTGCATGCTGACATGGCACTGTGCCTCGAAAATCCAAAACACACCAAAGGTGTAATAATAATTCTACACCAAATCAACCCTGAACTCTCCTTAGAAGCTAAACCGACCAAACTGAGGCTATCGTACTTTGGTCACATTATGAGAAGGCAAGAGGCACTGGAAAAGACAATGATGCTAGGAAAAGTTAAAGGCAGCGGGAAAAGAGGAAGACCCAGCGTGAGATGGATGGACTCAATCAAGGAAGCCACAACTCTCAGTTTGCAAGACATAAGAACATAAGAGACGCCAATGTTGGATCAGGCCAAAGGCCCATGCAGTCCAACACTCTGTTCACACAGTGGCCAAAAATACCAGGTGCCATCAGGAGGTCCACCAGTGGGGCCAGGACATTAGGAGCCCTCCCACTGTTGACCCCCTCCCCAAGCACCAAGAAGACAGAGCATCACTTGCCCCAGAGCCCCTATCTATACCTTGTGGCTAATAGCCACTGATGGACCTCTGCTCCATATGCTTATCTAATTCCCTGTTGAAGCCGTCCATGCTTGTAGCCGCCACCACTTCCTGTGGCAGTGAATTCCATGCGTTAATCACTCTTTGGGTGAAGAACGACTTCCTTTATCCGTTCTAACCCGACCGCTCAGCAACTTCATGGAGTGCCCACGAGTTCTTGTATTGTGAGAAAGGGAGAAAAGTATCTCTTTCTCTACTGCTCTTTCCCATGCATCATCTTATTATGACCTGAGCAAGGCTGTTCACGAACAGACATTTTGGTGGTTAGAAGCTCCACCACTGAGCCACGGCCCCTCCCCAAACATCACACCAGCTCTTGATATTTCCGACAGCCCTTGAAATAAGTTTCACGCTAAATTTCAACCACAGTTTAATAGTTCCGCTCTCCAAACTGGAAAAGGAGTCCAAGAAACCAGGAGAGGAGAGACCTGTGCCCCTTGCTTGTGTCACAGACAGACACGTGAGCTGGCTGGGGGCCGCTTCTTGTTTCCAAAGAGCAGGTGGGGCGCCCGAACAGCCTGAAAATTAATTATTGCAGATTTTTCCCTA